GTCAGCACCTCTCCTGATAGTGCCCCCGTTTGCCTCATGGAGCACCACACTCCAGACAAGGTGAGATGCGTCAAACATATACAGTCAACTCCCTCTTAACGGACACCTTGCTAGAACGGACACCTACATATAGAGTATGTCCCTGCCTTTCACTACTCCTTTTCATATGACTCCTTATAAGACAGACATCTCCCTAAGATGGACGAACACACAGTGCTGGTCCCAAATGTCTCCGTTTCAGAGAAAGTTGACTGTTTCCGTTGGTGAATAAGTTCCTATAATAAGTAAATTTAGATAAGCGGATAGAATCTGATGGGTAAAAAACGCTCGCGAGGACCTTGATCTTTTGCGTAAAAAGCGGATCTGACGGTCGGACGAAACGCCAGATTAGTCATTTGTGTAGAAACACAATTGTCCCTGGGAAGATAAAGACACAGACCGCGTAGTAACAATCAGGGTTTGTACAGAGTCTCGGATCCAAAATGTAAGACTTTCCAAAACAATGATTTATTTTTCCAGACTCATGATTACCAATTAGGTGACCAACGGTGACCTTGAAAAAATGTAGGAACCAATCTCTTCTCATGATGCACTGCCATCACGGTGCTCTAATGTGGACATAAGAGAGTTCTGAAACTTCCCATTGTGTGATTTAAGGTCTTGGCTACTGGCGAGTTTCAATAAGATATCAATAAGATTTTACTTACTAAGCACTTGTTGTAGCTTTGAAAAAAAATTCACACTTTTTACGATTTTTCAAGACTCTATTTTCCAGAATTTTTCCAGGTCTGGAATATTGCTTTGCAAGTTTCAAGACTTTTTCAATAATTCAAGACTCTATGCAAGCCCTGAACAACAGAAACTTCGAGTGGTCGCCGAATCCCCGGGAAAAAATTAAGGAAAGAAAAAAATTCTGTGGATAGGCTATAGTTTTTGTTGTTGTTCTGTTTTTAAGTCACAGTAATCTCGTTTAATTCCTTTAGATTACCTGCTGTGCTGTAACTGATGGTTGTAATTCTCTTTTCATTGGTACATCAACCGGCACCCTGTCAGTGCTTCCCGTCAAGTACAACCCGAGAGTAGCGGTAAGTCTATGGTTCAGTGCTGAGAACTACCTTGTCAGCATCTAATACAGCCGAACCTCTCCTTACGGCTGGTTCAAATGGGCGACGAAAACACAAGCAGTAAAGAACACTCGTAAGGCATACAAATTTTTTCAGCGTATAGTCTCAACGTCAGCGCTTGTGCTTGCGATTGCATTTCACAGGAGTGAGCCGCAACATCACAAGCACTAGTGCGTGCACAACGACAAATATTCCGTCCGCTAAGTTTGGACGCCGGGTGCTAAAAAACGCGTGCGAATCTGTCCTTTCTTTTGTTTTCCAGGAAGCTGGCATCGAAGTCCTGGGTTCGAGAGTTCGGCTTCATGGGCATAAGGACTCCATCACTTGCATTGAACTGTGCCAAGCCTTCAGTATTGTGGTCAGCGGTAGCTGCGACAAAACAGCCATTATTTGGGACCTGAATAGGTACTACCTATAAGAAGATGTTTCTTTGTCAGATATCCGCTAAAGCTGATTACTCTACTCGTGCCGGCATTGGTAGTAACTCTCTTACTGGTGGCCACTCAATAACTAGACACTTTTTTCTTGACTGTATCGAAAGTTTTTAGGTGGCGTGAGATCGTTTTCTCGATAGGAAATCAATGTTGAGATGCGTGTTGCATTTAGTTAAGTAAATAGTCACGGAGACGTTTTGCATTTCGGTGATTCGATGAAACGTCCTTTATTGAACTAAGTAATGAGAAAGAACTTAAGTTCGGTCAGGAAAATCTGTTATTTCTGCCTGCTTTGGTTATATTTTAAAGGTACAATTTTGACGTCAAACGACAACTTTGGATAAAAGCCGTTACTCCCCCTCCCTCACTCTCAGTATTTTTTTTCTGTTTTTCAGGTTAAGTTACGTACGATTTCTCCGACATAACAACACTGTTGCGGCTATTAGCATCAGTCGAACCACTGGAGACATAGCTACTGTGTCGCATACTAGTAAGTGATGACATGACTAGCGGTACATTGGTTCTCTCCGATAGGATCGTTTTACCGTGCGTCTCTGAATAGTCACTTCTTAATTTGTGATTGGCGTATATCGATCCTAGTTATTGCCTCTGTGGTCTAATGTTAGTCTGCTACACAGCCGTTCTTCCTGTCGTCGCTCAACGCCACTCCTGACAAATCCTCCCTGAGCCAAGAGCGCTGGGTTACGACATGAGCAAAGGCTAGGTAGCAGACTTGTCTAAAGTACGACGTTGCCGTTGTTGTACGAAATGCAGCACCTCCTCCTCCCCCCCACCTTCCCTCCCGAAATTAAGTGGCTTCACCCTTAATTTCGAGTGGGGAAGGTGAAGGAAGGACGTTGCTTTTATTGACTGTAGCCGTCGTGCAAAAAGTTCCCAGATCTTTTCACGAAGCTTAACATAAAGAGGAGAAATAGCTTTCATTTTATATCCTCGTTTTAGTAAACTGCGACTCAGAGGAGGACACTATTGACGACGGAAGTGTCATGAAACTGTGGACTGTAAATGGCAGGTTTATTGGTCTTGTGACCTGTGAACACATGATCAACTGTTTGGAGTTTTCGTCTGCTCCTGAGGGCATGTCTGTTAATGTTATCGCCACCGGACTAAGCAATGGAGCCATAAGGTAAATTCACTAACCTGGGAAAGGGGTCGTTAGTTTCTAAAGCTACAGTAAAGCGGGAACCAAAAACGTACAACCTGTTTTGTAACATTGCTGTAAATTGAGTTGAAAAGGAATATTGCTCGTTTTACCACCCAAGTTCAAACCTGCGTCTTGCAAAAATCAGGCTGTTGCAAGGATAAAATTACGCGGAAGTCACGCTATACACCGGGAGTTACGTCACTTTTTAAGTTTGCCTTGGGCCGGTAAAGCGCGTAACATTGTTGTTTGATTGTGTTGCAAAACGTAGAACAGACTAGGTTTGGTTCGTGGATGGTCGAAAACGCGGCAGCAATGTTATGTCATTGGTTGACAACAAGTTGCACGTTTTTGCTGTCCGTTTTACCGTACCTTAAGAAAACGTTGAGCGAGTGAAATGCAAGGATTTGGATTCAGTTTCTGTTTCAGTTTATTTTGCAACAAAAACGTTGACGAGCGTCGCTCAAAAACGTCTTTGCTTAAGCTCCCTATAATCTTCCTACAGACTTTGGAGCACGTGGGATCTGTGTCACATACGGGACATTGCACCGGACCTCAATCTACTTCAAGTAGTCAGGTAAGACAGCTAGCTTTTGTATGTGGCTTCGTTCAATTTGCGTTTGTTTGTTTTGTTTGTTTTCGTCATGCATACAATATACATTACATGTAGTTTTATCTGTGTTACCCTTCCCGACACGAAAAAAACCTTGGCGAATTGTGCTACATAAATGTAAATATCTTTATTTTACTGTATGAAATGCTTGAGCAGGTTTTGCGGTAAGTAACATACACTTTTTTTAAAGGGGAAAGTTCCTGTTCTTCTTGTTTTTGTTTTTGGACAGATCTAATTATGAAGAAAGTCATACCAGTTATCAAAAAAATAACTTTGCTTTGAAAAAATTTATTGAAATTCGTCGACGACAACCTTTTTTAGCCGTCAATACACACACGAACTTTGATCTTGTGCAATTTTGCGAAACAACAAGCGGGCGCGAACTGTGATACATAAACATGCCATTTTGAATTCTTTTTTAGCTTAAAATTCTCTGACGACAGCCAACGCCTTTTTGCTGTCAACACGAACGGGAAACTTGTGGTTTGGCAGACAAGAGACAAAATCTACACCAAGCCGCCTGTTATCACTGTATTCCAACGAAGATAAGTAAGAAAGGCCCTTTGCTACAAATATGGTACTTCCCTTTGACAGTAGCGCGGGAAGAAACTTACGCACGGGAACATTTTAGCGTCTTTCTTCATTGTAAGTGGGGTGGTACGAGGCTTTTGGACCCTCAGTCGTGTGCGTGGCCATTTTCCTCTCTCGTGTGTTTTGCTCGATGTACTAAGCATTACGAAGAGACTACTCACCAAAGTGAAAGCGTTATAGTTTGAGCTGTTCTGCTGTGCTTAAAGTTTCACAGTTCTTCACGTATTCAACTTATGACTTGTGCTGTATGGTCCACTAAAGGTTTACAGTAAAAATATTTTTATATTTCTTTCGAAATTTGCTTGTGTGGCCATGCACAATAAGGAAAGCTTTATTTTCTTTAAATCGCTCGCTACAGAGCAAATTGCTGTAGTAACTGATTGAATGTAAGCGAGAAATCTGTATAATTATTCATAATATGCAAGATAAAGGATGCTTGTATTACTAATAATTATAATGATATTGTGGTTACTGTCAGTATAATTTATTATCATTATCGTCATCATCATTATTTTTTCACGATTATTATTATTATTATTATTATTATTATTATTATCATTATTATTTTTATTATTATTAAAAAAAAGCTTACAGAGATATTACCAAAGGAAGATTTATTTTTATATCTTTGTAACGAATTGACTGTAATTAATCAATATTGTAAGTACATAAAATACGATTAGATTAGAAATATTTTATGTTGTTTATATTTTACAGTGCTGATGATGTTTAGATGGTTGTAGCCATATAAAGAAGTGATATATCATTTTGAATTGACAAGTTATACCCTCAAAAGTCTCTGATAAATTCTTATGCCATATTTAGAGTCAGGACGTAATTTTTTGAAAATGAAATTAAAGATGCCAGTCTTTTGCTTTTTGTTTATATTTATTTACTTAACGATGACCACTTCATTTTACTTCACGATATAAGTTAGACCTTTTACGATCAGAACTTATTTGAAATATTAAAAAACACAAAAAATAGTAATTAATGGGGAGCAAAAGCAATTTTAAGCAGGTACTCTCCCTGCCCCCTTTCAATATTCCAGTGGTCTGTTCCTATGGTTACTAGCAGCGAATTTAAACTAATTTGATTTTGGACTTTTTTTTTGGCGCTGAAAAAGGTTACTTTCCAGCAATAGTTTCCTCACACGTTGACTTAACTATGTTTTAGTCAAACGTTATGCTAGACTAATTTTGTTTTGTGAGGTAGCTCTTATTAAACGGTTGAGTGGTTTATTTGTCGCGATCGCCCATTCAAAGTCATTAAAATATTTGGTTTATAGTGGGACTGCTAACGACTAGCTACCGTATAGTAGTAGTAGCGTCACAGTTGAAGGATTAACTCAGTGCTTATCTTGTTTATGGAAAAGCCTTTTTCTATAATTTTCCTCAGCGAATTTTTTGTAGTGTGCAGTCTGTTTACCCTGCTCGCTACTGCACCTGTTTTTGAAGCTAGTCAGGGAAGAAGATGGAATGGCACGTATCCAAATCGAGAGGCCACCAATCTGTTCACGATAAAGCCCTTACAATTTTTCAAGAACGAATTAAGTCTCTTGCTGTCGCTGAACGAGAAATTGAGAAGGAACGAATACAAAGTAACATCGACCTCAAGACTGAAAAGCGAAAGGTGCAAGAAGATTTGTTCAACTTAAACAGGGACAGAAAACGGTTTGCCAGAGAAGCCAGAAACAAGTTACAGTTACACCAACTTCCTCGTCTGTTCAGTAGGGAGAAAACGTTTCAAGGATTATCTGTTAGAGATAAACAGAAATTACTTCGATCTTTTAGTACTGAGAGATCCGCGGACACATTTCCCTCGATAACTTGCACTGACGCGAATGTACCACAGATTATGAAAAGGTCTATTTCGAGGGAATCGCAGTTTCATAACTGGGTGATTGGTTTTCCAAGGATTAAAGATTCGTCCTCTAAGCGAACGTTACGAAATAAAAAGCTAGCTAAGCAGGGAGCGAAAAATGAAAACAGCGATGCAGGAGCGGTGAAAAGACATTCTAAGGTGGAGAATATTGTTTTCAATGTCCCCGTGACATTAACGAACACGAATGGAAAAGCTTCAGCGAGGCATGATCAATTACAAGTCAGTCATCAAAAGCGAAGGAAAGGGGTTGTAACAAGCTGGAACTTGAAAAATGAAAAGCTACCAAAACTCAAAGATATACTCAGATAAGATTGTCTGAGCTCAAACAAAGTTACTGTAATTAAGTTAAATGCGTCTGAAATCTCTTAATTAATGGTCGATCCAAAATAGGATTACAGTACTTCTAGTACACTGTAGCCCCGATTATTATATAAAGTGCTATGGCCCGGGAAAACTGTTCACGGTGTAACAGGGGTACGTTGTATAAATCGAGGTCCTGTTCTATACATTTTTCTATAACTGGGGGCGAAGAATTTTTCGTTTCACCGGGTTATCCGTTTTAAAGGGTTTCTAGATTGGTGTTCTAATGCAGTTCATTTAAATTCCCTTAAGTGAAAAGGCTTTTAAAAAGCTTCCAAGTAACTCAATTTAAACAGAATCAGAGAACTACTCGTGGCTGTGCGACTTTTGATTCGATTGAAGCACACGCGTTCACCCCCATTACTATAGTCTCTGTTAATGAACTTATTTGTTTTATATTTCACTACATTTGCATCTTTTGTTTGTGATGTTAGTACACGTATTTGTGAATAACGACCTTCTGATTACTTAAAAACAACGCTCTTTTCATTCATAAAGTGTCTGTAAACCTTGTCTGTTGGCCTTGAGTTTTGTTAGCATTTCTACATTTGAGATTAAAAGCAAAAATGAAATTTAAAGTTAGACTAGACATAACTAAATTTTCCTTTTAATCTTATCAGAAAGAAAAGCTAACTAATTTCACGGGTCATTACGTCCTAAGCTAATCCACTCGAGCTTTTCAACAAAAAGACAGTGAGATTGCTATTATATTTATTTAAGTAATCGGCGACAGCAAGTCGTGAACATCAATAGCTTTTGTATTGAATTAAACCATCCACCAAATCAAACATTCGAATCTCTGACATGGACGCAATAAGTGGTGTTTGAAAACGAAACTATAGTCGTTTCGACACTCTGAGAAATCTCGGCATGTGGACTTCGGAATCCGGGAAATTTTTGCTTGCGAAATCCGGAATCCAAGTTCCACTGGCGAGGAATCCAGAGCCTGGAATTAACAGAGTGGAATCGAGAATCCAGGACTGTTGTGGATTTCGTCCCATGTAAGGGAGTCTGAAGAATTGTGTCATGGTCCACTAAATTTTTGCGGCAATAATACTTTAATACTTCTTTTAAAATTTGTGTGGCCATGCACAACGGTGAAAACCTTTTTTTTTTTCCAGTCGCTCTTACTGAGCTAGCAAATTGCGGTAGTAATTGATTGAATGTGAGCGACACATCTGTATAAGTATTTATAATATGCAAAATAAATGCTAACTACATCACTGCTGTAGCTACAAGTGATGATGATGATATTATCCTTACTGTGATTATGTTTATCATAGTGATTATTATTATTATTATTATTATTATTATTAATATGATGATGATGATGATGATCATCATCATCATCATCATCATCATTATCATCATTATTATAACGAGCTTATAGAGATATTACCAAAGTTAGATCTATTTTTATATTTTTGCAACAAATTAATCAATTTTGTAACCACATATAAAATACAATGAGATTACATGTTTATCAGTTCAATGTGGAGGGAAAATCCAGTAGGGTCAGTGTAGGTTTTCCCTTTGCAGGTATATAAAGAAGCCATATTAATTTTTAAATGAATGTTATACCCCTAAAAATATGCAATAAAATTTTTTATGTAATATTTAGAGGGAGCATGCAATTCGTGAAATAAAATTAAAGGAGGCAGTCGCTAATCCTCACCATTTCATTTTACTTCACGATTTAAGTGACATCTCTCAGAACATATTTTTCAAATTGCATTGAAAACAATCATAACAGGGGTTTTCCAATGGTAAATTCTCGTCTTGTTTTTCATTTTTATTTTTGCCAATTACTGCAAACGGTAGTAAAACAAGGGCAGAAAAAATAAAAAGTTCAATCCTTCGTTTATGTGGAAACAGTCTGTTTTTACAATCAGCGATCAAAGTAAAAACGCTTTGTCGTGAATTGTGGGTGTACACGTAGCTATAATTGTGCATTTATTGAGGGCGGAGTCGTTAAGACATTCAGGTTACACCGTGGAATTCAAGAAAAATCTGTAAATCCCAAAGTTTGAATCCCAACGTTTTGCAATTTGTACTATTATATTTTCATCGGGAGACTCGCTTTGCTAAAAAGAAACTCTCTCGATCTTGTTTTGAGCAAGGAAGGTTGTGGTGGGAAAGCGCGATGCCTACCCGCGGCAGTTTCCCGCGCCTGTTGCCCAGTTAATGTATTTATATTTTCTTTTAGACGTAATTGTTCATTTGATTGTCAGGTCATGTTAGGCGTGATTAAGGCGGTCAAACTCCTAGCCACAGTATTTTATACAGTTTTGTGAAGTCAAGCTCCTATCTTTTCGTTCTTCGCGATAACCATGTAGGCATGAACATAATCACCTCCGTGATCTTCAGGACGCTTGGCAACCTCGCTTTCGTATTGCTTGAACAATTCATTTACGATGCTTTCCTTTTCTTTGGGTGACCGAGAATCTGACAGGGCTAAGAACAAAAGGTAACACCACAAAGGTAAGTTATGGACTGAGGCGTTAACTCACTTAAAAAACCCTAGTCCATTCACCGATTCTATCAACAAAAAACGTATTACTAAGCAAAGCAAACATCCCTCCCCCCCCCCCCCCAAAAAAAAAAAAAAAAAAAAAAAAAAAAAAAAAAAAAAAAAATATTGGGAAAAAAAACCCTTTTTTTAACATTTTTTCTCCCCTTTTTTAAATATATTTTTTTCCCTTTTTCACCGGACTTTTTTTTTTTTGGCCGCGAGAGGGGGGGGGGCTTTGTACAGAAACAATTACACCCCCACCAAAAAAACCCCCACTCACAGGCAACACGAAAACCGAACAAGCAAAAAAAAAAAGTAAAAACCCAAAAAGGAATGTTTGGACCGAGGCGTTAAACCACTTTAAAAACCCTCACCCATTTCCCCTTTCCATCAAAAAAAAAAGTATAACAAAACAAAACAAACAACCCCCCCCCCCCCCCCCAAAAAAAAAAAGAATAGAAAGAAAGAAAGATCAATAAACAGTATCTGGAGAAACTAGCCTATTATCATGACTTATGCACTCGCATTTGAAATTTAGATTTTCCGCCTTTTCACGGCGAATTTTTGATTTCGGGCCCGAGAGGGCGGGGACTTTTGTGAACATAGCATTTAACCCCCAATCAAAATGCCCGATATCTCCAGTACGGCCAAACGGAACACCGTTGATTTCTATGCCACAGTGACAGTACAACTAGTCTCTTACCGGAAATAAACGTAGAATCACTCCACTTCCTTAACGACGGTATGAACCACCGCGCATGCTCTACAGGATCGCCACGATTTTGCAACCACTTTTCCCTATAAGGGCATGGCACTACTTTGGTTTCTATGGAGATCAGTGACAGGCAAGCCTTACGCACAGGAGAGTCCGGTGATTCAAAAGGGGCCTTGAATTCGTTAACAGTCCGGAAGTAACCGATAAATGTAGTCCGATAAAATTCATCCTGCAAAAAAATAAGTTTTTTAGGTCTGTAGAAGTCTGTCAACTGCATAGATCACTTCTAGCATGGTAATATGTCATGCAAGGATTAATAAAGGCTTCTAATTTTAAAAACGCTGTAGTGAGCGGGGAGAAGGAAATAAAAAAAGGATTGTATAGGTCGTGGGTGGTTTATGTTAAGCTACGTACAAACGGACGCAACAATTCCCAACAATGTTGTTGGCCAATAAAGTTACGTCCGTTTGCACAGAGCTTTACATTAAGTAAAAATAAATAAATAAATAAAAACAGCCAAGGAGCTAACTAAGGACTGACTTTGAAGACATCCCCCAGAGCAGCCGTAGACAAAGTCGGGCGGAATTCCCTCCTGTCGTGTCAAGCGCCAGATGGCACGATAGAGAACTAAGTTAGTGAGCAAATAAACCCGGTAATGTTGGAAAGGCACAGATTATTGTCTTACTGAGCGTTCAAATTGCAAGTTGGGGTTACCTGTGGTCATTTCGATCGTCATGCTTGCAAGATGTCTTTCACACCTTCATAAACTATTTGCATGTCCAATCGATCTAGGGCGGTAACAACAACTAAAAGCAGAAAATGTGTAACCTTTGTGATGAGACCTTCGTCGCGGAGTTCCCTCCACAAGTCTCTCAAGGTGCCATGAACGGAAGCAGCAGCTTTTCGTGTTTGTCCAATAAACTGCCCTTCATCGTCTACAGCGAACTGAACAAGAACCATCCTGCCACCTAAATTACAAGATAAAAAAGGAACTACTCCTAATTTTGACTCAAGTCGGTTAAGGCCGGAATATATGGAAACGCTAATCATGAACGCCAGGACAGTATTTGGTGCCGATTTTACGTCTTTAAAGACGTAAAAATGTTAAGGAAAGAGTCGGGAAAATTTCCATAACGTCCGCCGCCATTTAAGTCATTTAACGTCCTTTAAAGCGTCCCAAAGAGACGCAGCCAACGACTTATACACATACTTTTCCGAGAATAGTTAGGCGCTCATGGTAAGCCAGAACGCCTCTGTAACGTGAGAGGTGTACCATTTTCGTGGGTAGGAATGTGACAGGGTGACGTTTGGTCAAAAGTGGTATTTGAAAGGGCAAGGGGACTCAGGAAAGGGCATCAACAAACAAAAGTGAGTTGACTGTATTTTTTCATCTTACCAGAAGCCATCTCCTTTGCCCTCGCCAGTAAGATTGTCTCCCAATCCTTTGCGGCCTGGCTTCTGAATTTTTCCGCCTCTTCTGGAACAGTAATCATGGTGTGACTCAATGCTCCTGTGATATCACATGGCTTCTCAGTCAACCAGTGCATGGCAGTGGAGGAAAATACTAAATTTACAGAGTGAGGAGGCAAACATTGCTCGTAGAAGCTGGTGCCGCACGTCGTGACGAACACGTTAGTGAAGTCTAGAAAATAGCTTTTTGGACCGGGTATTAGACCTGTGAAATAATTAGAAACTTTTCTAGTTCCAAGTTAACTTAACTGACTTTACCTTTTCGTTTAAGGCTGCGTGCAAACGGACGCAACAACTCCCGACATTGTGAGTTGTTGCGTGCGTGTTGGCAGTGGTGTGCAAACGGATGCTTGTTGAGGGTTGTTACAACCCTGGACGTCACGTAGCACCCTTCCTATGTTGGGTATTCAGAAACATTTGGTACGCATTACTCGCACGCACCCCCCAACAATGTTGGAAGAGCTGTGCAAACGGATCCAACTTTGTTGCGCTACGCTTCGGCGATCACGGAACAAAAGAAATGTTGGGAGTTGTTGGCTGAAAGGTTTGACCGGTTTCAAACTTTGCGCAACAACACGCAAAAACATCCAACAACATGCAACAGGGTGTGCAAAGGGACGCAACATGTAACATCCAACAATGTTGGGAGTTGTTGGCCAACAATGTTGCGTCCGTTTGCACGGGGCTTAAAGTGAATGATCGCACGCTCCACTTAGATATTAACCTCGTACCCACATGACACTCTGTCTTAAGCTACGTGCAAACGGACGCAACAACTCCCAACATTGTTGGCCATAAAATGTTGGGACCTGCAGTGCATCGTGGGAAAGATACAATCCATAAGACTTTGTAAACCATGAGTAATGAGCGTACGTGGCCCCAACAATGGTGGAAGAGCTGTGCAAACGGATCCAACATTGTTGCGCTACGCTTCGCCGATCATGGAACAAACGAAATGTTGGGAGTTGTGGGTTCAAAAGTTTGATCGGTTTATCAAACTTTGCGCAACAACTCCCAACAACACGCAACAAGGTATGCAAACGGACGCAACATGAAACATCCAACAATGTTGCGTCCGTTTACGCGGGGCTTAACACTTCACTCTGTCTTACGCTGAAAAAGTAAACCGTGGGAGATCTGGGTACGAGATGCCTTTGATATAGAATAGACGTGAGTGAAGTTTTCATTCACGCGGAAAATAGAGTTTTTTATCTTACAAAAAATCTTCCACTGCGTAATGAATAGCGACCAAAACCACACTCACAAGTAACTTTACAAACATACATTTAGGGTGTTCAAGTATTGAAGAACAAAGGGCCACTCTTTTTCCACTCAGTTTCCCCACTCCCACTTCCCTGTCCTCCTTTAGTAATGACTGCTCAATTTAGATGACTCAGTGCAACTTATCTAATACATGTTATACGCTTTGGGAAGTCAAAGAAGTCAGACGCTAGTGACGTGTAAAGCCAGTTAGCCTGTTATTGGGTCTTTGGCATGGGCCTTTGCGCATCAATGCTCGGTGTCTCACTTAGCTGCTCAAAGTAGAATGTGAATATCGCCGTTGCTAGTTGCTAACTCTCACAAAGAATACCTTGCAATCGAAGAAACAGAGTCTTGAAATCATTGACAGGTTGATCATCATAAATAACATGAATAGGCAGACCATCACCATGAATCTTTCTCAACTCTTGTACGCATGCGTAAAGTAGTGGCATGGAGGTAGCGCCATCCGCGCAGCCAAAGTCAGCGATGGTAAATACAGACCCAGGCTTCACCGAAGCTGACCTAATGCTCTGCAATACTAGAGGTGCAGACTCTGAGATCACGTTGTAGCATCCGGCTGGGTTGTATCCCGACCCATCTGCACTGTATATACGAAACTTTGGCAAAACGTGCTCCTATCATACAGCAATAACACGATAAAATTTTATTGGACTAGTGATAAAAACCGTTTGAAAAAATAGAGCTTGAAGGGGCTCTGTCACGGCTGTCCTATACATCGGGTTGAAATTGCCTCTAACGCGTCTTTTTTTCGCTAAGGAACTTGATGTAATTGTTAGCGAGGAATTTACTTGAAATTGACGAAATCTTGGCTTTGTATCAAACAAGCATCTCTTTAAAAGCATGATATTAATCGTTTATTACATACAACATCTTTGAAAAACTGCTAGTAAGGCTAACAAGTTTTCAAAACCCGCAATTGTAATCCGTTTAAATCTTCTTCAAATTGCCCATTCGTGCCTTCTTATGTTTTCGCTGTGTTATTTAGACCTTTTTCTAATGTTTTAACCGTTTTTTTTTTATGTTTTACTCAATTTGGTGGCAGCTCTCACTGTTTGAATTTTGATAAATTTTGCTTTTTTCCGTATCCAGTGAAATATTTTGCTGATACTGCACAACGTAGCTTCCAACCGAAGAAGCAGGTATTGAGAGGCTGTGGCTCAGCTTAAATCAGGCGTTAAATGTAGCATCCGTATAGACGCCATCTACTGAAATATTTTACTGAAAAAACCTGTTATTTTCATATGTAATAGAGAAAGCAAGGTTATTAACATCGAGGAACTTGAGCTTTTAGAAAACGTTAAGGTGATGTTACACGAGACGATTCGCAACGACGATTTTTAGCGCAACATAGTGTTGCAAAATTGTTTCGAATGGTTGCAACATTGTTCCAACATTGCACCGCTGTGTTGCCCTCCTGTGTTGCGCTAAAAATCGTCGTTGGGAATCGTCAGTCCCCTGTAGTGAACTAATTGAAATTGCCGTGAAACTTTTGGGCCACCGTACATGTACGATACTCGACAGTTGCAGTGTCTCGCAAAAAATGTTTTAGCTGCGTGACATCTACGAAAAAGTTCTTGTTTCGCGTTGACCAAGTGTGAAGTAAAAAATGGCTGAATAATTGCCAAAGTTTCCAGCGTTTTTATGGACCGAGAGAACAACAAAAAAGAGACGTTGTACTTACAATTTCGTCACTCCTTGAAGACATGTTTCTCTGTCTTATTTTTATTTCTTTGATAGTAGTCCCCACAATGGAATCTGTCAGTAAACACGAGTAGTCGAACTAAAGACAAAGAACAATCCAGTGAAGCGTTTCGGTAGAAAATTCGTTCTATATTATACACAGGGCACAGAGGACGTGACCATAACTAAAGCTAATTAAATTCACATCGATTCACAGCATGATCGGTCTTAAAAAGAAGGGTCACGTGATCTTAAGCATAAAGAAATGACAAAAGACATATACCGGTAACCGGGAGGTGACTTTTTGCATTCTTCGGTGGCGGGGTTTTTGCCCCGTTTTGGGCAAAGCGTCTCGAGCGTAGTCTTTTACGCAGCCGTTTTTTTGTGTTGTCAGGCAACGGGAGGATCATCGTTGTGTGACGACACAAAGAACAAAGCATGGAGACTAACTTAGAAGTGCTCCAGGTTCAAGGTTTGGACTTGGCCCTTGGAGAAGAAATACTGTCTTATGATCTGAACACTTATAATAACTAATAATAATAGTTCTCACTAAAGCTGCCTCCGCTTTTTTTTATATTAGGGAGTGTAAAGTATCTGCTGGGGTGGAAACTTTGTACAGAGAATGACCGTTTTATTTTTCAAACTCTTTTATTTTATCTGACAGGCTTTGTTATTTGAATAAATCTGGAAAGTGCAAGGTGAGAGGTTTTATATCATCATAGGCTATTGCCCAGTTATCCCTGGTTACACTCGCATGGGACTGAGGCGTAGGTCAAATGGGTTGTTTTCGGTCATGGCGCGTTTCAATAAGGGAGCTGACTCTGGCCTCAGTTTATTGCACAAGTCAGATTTGTTGTAAGTAGCTCTCCCTATTGGACTTGATCTCTTTTATCTACTGTTATAAAGACAGAGAGGTTAATTTTTTTTTAAAATTTCATCAAACAACAGCCTGATCAAACAACAACCTAATATGTATCTATTTTACGTCAAACAGTTCAAGAGCTTATGTGTTAAATAATTTGAATAGAATTTGAAATTGAACATGAACATTACAAAATATATCTCACAGTCAGTAAATTATACCAAAATTATGAACATGTGTTGTTATTATGTTGTAGTCTGCTAATACAACTATATTTCTCACAGTCAAATTTGATAAATGTGGGGAAAACAAACATGATGCAACTTCTCAAAAATTGTCAACTGCATAGGAATAAATATGGGAGGTGTTTAGTACAGAATTCATAAAATGTCCTGTCTTAGCAATAACTGCTGGAGTTATTTCACACACATCTAACTTAAGTTCCTCCTGGTTTTCATCTCCCATTGAGCTACATTTGTACTGTATGCTAAGGAATCTGTTACTTCACAAAATGTGTTGCTTTATTCATGTATTGTGAAAAACCATCCTTCCTTAAACTGTTTTTTCAGTGCAGCCAAATTGGAAAACTCTTTTACACACCTGAACAAAGATAATCAATATAGGTCCATTTTTCTTGAATGAGAATTGCACAAGTAAAATGTTTATTACATGATCGCAGCATCCCTTTCAACTTGTATTCGGTTTGGCCTACATTTATATTTTCATACAACTTTATCACATTCATAAGCTCTGGAGAGAATTCAACAAAAACAAACTTTGAGGGTGCTACGGAGGTCAAAATTGGCTCACACGTAGGGGTTTCAATTCACAATCAGGGCAGTTTAACTTTCCAGGTTGAGTTTGAATAACAGAAACAAACTGTGGCCAGGATTGTGATTCAGCTCATATTTTTGCAATGCAGATCTGGTCACAAAATTTACCAAAATTGAACTATTTAGAACTACATCCTTTTGGCATGTCTCACAAAATGCTCAAAAATCTGACTGAAGCAAGCATTGCAATATCCTGCTAAAAGAGAAGGGCATTCTTGTCTAAAATAAGCCCAAAGAGGTTCCTTGATTTCTTCCAACAAATATCTACTGTTTTCTGGTGAAGTAATTGGTGGTTTTCACTGTCACGCCATCCAGATTAAAAATGGAGTCCAATACAAAAAGTCTAGAATTTGGGAATTGAAAGAAGATAAATATACAAAAAGCCTTGCCAAGAATCAGGTCTGTGCAATATTTCGTATGCGAGATATTCGGAAAGACGTTTTACCCAAATTTATAAAGCTTTGAGCATGTGTTAAAAAGAAGCTCTTTGAATTCATTTCTCACAATCAAAGTTGATAAATGTGGCAAAAACAAACACAATGCTGGAGATAGAAAACTATCCAAGGTACAAGAAAAAGTTCGAGGAATGCTTGAAGCTGAACTCATTAAATGGCTTTTTGGTTTCAGCATTATTAAGCTTAGCTTTCAACTGAGGTATTACCGTATGAACAACAATTCAAAACGTGACATTAGCTTTATTTGCGCTTACGCGTGACACGCTACACAAAACAGGACTTTTCGAAGCGACCTCTGGACCTCTAGAACTCTGAAAATATGCCAATATCACAACCCATGAGTCACTAAACCAGTTCTTTGTCCTTTTCTCAATCACTGAATATACTTTTGGATGTTTTTGGAGTCTTTCGCGCCCAGTTAGGTTTGACTTGTGTCTGACAAATCCAAGCGTGACCGTGTCTTTCGGTCAAAGACATCGATGAGAAATGCGAGTTTCCTCAAAGTCCTCGATAAGCAATGCGAGTTTCCCCAATTTTGACCCTAGATCGAATGGACTTCGATGCGATTTTTCAACAAATAAACTTAAATCTATCTAGAAAGCTATATGCACTTACGTTTGGACTTCAGAACCTCGTAGCGTGACAAATATTCTACCCCCAGCGAACGTTCGGCAATCCTTTGCGAACCGTGTTCTCAAAAATCGAGAGTTTTCTGATTTTTCCTAAATTTTCCTCCCTAAATACGCGAGGACTTCTAGGGTGCCTCCTCGGGTTTTGGCCGACTGGACCAAAACCCTGCAGGGGCATTATTATTATTATAATTTCCAGGGGGCCCACTCGCCTTAGCGGTTTTCAGTGGGGCCCTAAAATCGGGTTCCCTGCGATCCCTTCGATCGGGATAGGAAAGACCCCGATTTTTACTTCTGTTCTGATATTTTCAAATGAATTCTTATGACACTTTTTGTTATACAAAGACACCTAACAGAAAAAAAAAAAACACGCTCGCAATATAACATAAAATCGATCGCGATATTAAAGAAGCCCAGCAAAAATAAAAGTAAGCTTTAAACTGAAGTGATTTCTCAGTGGTTTAAAAATATCCCGATTTTACATACTCAAAAGGTTGAACAGTCTGCAAATTTGGAAGCGACAAGGCCTATTGTAAAAGAAACGTTCTTACTTCCTTCCGGTTGCTCTAATTCGTCGACACTCACAGAGGTAACGACAGCTGTAACGATGACGTCAGTAGAAGCTATTTTTACCAGCAGTGATCAACTTTGTCCGTATCTAAGGCCACCATGCGTTTGTTTCGAACTGAAAAGAAAAAAGATTTGATTTGACTTGATTTTAGACTACTCTGTTGGAGTTGACAATAACATTACTTTCCAGCAATAGTTGCATTAAGAGAGTTGTCTGGTTGTTTTTTTTTTTTTGGGGGGGGGGGGGAAATGGGGTTGATTTGGGAAGTAAATATGGTAGGGGAGAAAAGGAATCCCAAAAAATAAATAAACAATAAATACCCCTAATGGCGCAAGAGGACCCTTGTTTTGGTAGTGACCTTCGTGTGATTTTACAAATTGTTGCCTATTAGAAGGCACAGA